TGGTATGGAATATCCCTTTGGCCAGTTTGGGTCAGCTGTCCTGGCTGTGCCCCCTCCCAGCTTCTTGTGCACCTCCAGCCTTCTCAGTCGGTAGAGCATGGGAAGCTGAAAAGTCCTTGACTAGTGTAAGCACTACTTAGCAACAGCTAAAACATCGGTGTGTTATCAACATTGTTCTCACCCTAAATCCAAAACACAGCACTGTACCAGCTACTAGGATGAAAATTAACGCCGTCCCAGCCGAAACCAGGACACTTGGGAAGGGAAATGTCATGCAGTAAAATAGTATTTTTGCTGTGGATGGTTTAGGCTGAGTTACGAGTGTGATGGTTTTTTCATGTACAAGATTCCTTCAGTGATACCTATTCAGACACAGGGACAAGCATTTCCGTTTTCTTTATGTGGATCTTTGTATTATAACTGTGAAAATAAACAATGTCATTGTACTTAGCCGTATGCTCCAAGTATGAGGAACAAGGTACGTACTTTGTTCAGCTCCTTAAGTAAAGCAATCAGGCTTGCTCAAGGCATAATCTTATATCCACATTATTTCTATATTGCAATACATCTCCAGTTGAACATGAACTTTGATAGTGACTACAACCATATCATTTTGTAAAAATAAGACTTATTATCTGGAAGACTTTTTCTAAAAAGGAAAGGCTCTTTTTTTGAAAACAAACAAACAAAAACACCAAAAAACCCACAACTTTTTTTTTTCTTGTTAGTGCCTTGGAACCATCAGATAATTTAGGGTGGAATGGACCTTTGGAGGTCACCTGCTCCTACCATCTGCTCAGAGCAGGGCCAGCTTCATGCTCAGGTTGAGTTGCTCAGAGCCTTACCCAAAACTCGCCTGGACATCTCCAAGGAGGGAGACTCTATGGCCTCTTTGGGCAATGTGTTCCGGTGTCTGACTACCCTGACTGAGAAGACTTTTCTCCCCTCACCCTTTCTCCCATCTTTGTCTAACTGGAATGCCTCTTGCTGCAGTCGATGTCTGCTGCCTCTTGCCCTTTCACTGTGTGTCTCCAGGAAGAGTCTTGCTGTGTTGTCTCTAACCACCTGCTAGGTAGCTGAAGATAGTAATTAGATTTCCCTCACCACCCCAGCCTTCTGTTCTCCGGGTGAATTAATCCCCATCTCAAGCCTCTCCTCTCCGCCGTGCTGTGCTTTAGCCCCCTCAAGCATCCTGATAGCCCTCTAGTGGGTTCCCACTTGGTTTGTCAGTGTCTCATAAAGGGGAGCCCAAAGCTGTGAGGCTGCATCTGGAGTACTGTGTCCAAATGTTGAGTCAGGAGGAATAATCACCTCGCTGAACCTGCTAGCTATGCCTGTACTAATGCAGCCCAGTATTTATCTGCTTTCATCGCTACAAGGGCACCCTGCAGATTCTTGTTCAACTTCTTGTGCACCAAGACCTCCAGCGCCTTTCTGGCCAAGCTGCTTCTAGCCAGCTGGCCCCTAGAGCGTACTGCTGCATGGGGTTATTCTGCTGCAGGATTTTTGCATGTGCCTTTTGAACTTCATCATGAACTTTGTTTAGTGGTTGTAGCTGTGTTGCATGCTTGACGGGCAACTGTCAGGCCAGGACTTGGCAATACTAGGGTCCTAGAGAAACTAAGCAATGACTCGTCTTCTCTCCCTGCTCTTACAGCTCACCATTCCCACCACTTTCTCCACTTCTGTTCACATGGCAGTAGGATTCAGGGAAGCCAGGGGCCGCATCAGCTGTCTCTGACTCTGATTTTAATAAAGGGTGTTAATTTACAGGTTTACATTTTACAAAACCATGAATTTTAGTGTTGTCATAGTACATAAGTAATTCTAATATGAAAGCAATTTAACAAGGTAATCCTGCATGAGCTACTGTTGTATAGCTATTTTTGTGCATGTCTCCAGTTACATACTTACTCTATGGCTTAGTTATTTAAAAGATTCCTTGACTACAGCAGATGCTTTGACACAGTCAAAATGTGTCCCTCCTTTAAACTTTTGGAAATGGAATATTCTAAGTTTTCCTTGACGTCAGAACAGTTCCTTTTGACTCTGTGAATAATTGCTTTTCTGCTAGCATAAGTGTAGGTAGGTCTGCACCTACAGAGGCTATGCTGATACAGCTGTGCTGACAAGGCTATGCAGCTTGTGCTAGTGAAACAAACAGTTTTGTTCATAGTTGTTATTTGCAGGCAGAGGTTTGGTGATGCAGCTGTTTAAATAGTACCACATTAAAAGAACTAATAGTGGGGAATACTATTTTGCTCAAAATGAGAAATGCCCACTTACGGCATGAACCGAGAGAACCCTTCCATGCACGGACAAATGCTCAAATGGACAAATACGTCGTCTCCCTCACACTACTATTTGATCAACCAGAATACAGGTTCCATTTTCAAAGTAATTGAAAGTGTGAGTAGCCACACTCCTTTGTCTGTCTGCTGGTTGGTCTTTTCCTTCTCTCTTTCCCTAGTCTGTATTTCACACCTTTGTCAGAAAACTGAACCTTCTGGTTTGGGTGTATTACTATCTTAAGCTTTGAGTGTTGAGTGATAATAGTCAGGTGTCTGCATATCCCATTTGCAGAGTGCTCAAACTCTGGTCATAATGAAAGTTGGATTCTTACCATATTGACTAAGAACTGTGAACCTAGAGATGCGTATCATTGATTATGCCTTAACTCACCCCTGCCTCACTTGTGGAAGAGAATTGATTACAAGCTGTACCACGAATGCTTTGTTACAGGGCAATACAGCTTAAGATGCAGAAGCATTAAAAAAGTTTCATACAGTGTCAGTGTAATACTGCACTACCTATTCCTAACTTTTTTTTTTCCTAGGCTATTCAGGAACAAATGAAAATCCATGGACAAGAACCAGTTTCTTTTCAGGATGTCAACGCTAGTTTTACTGAATAGAGTACTACATGAAATATTTGGATAAGCATTTCATAATTTAATTATGTTATATCGTAGTTTCTAGGTTGTTGTATATTTACTTGCGGAGCAGTAGAGATGATCTGACTTGTCCTACTCATAGGTTTGAAAATGTCTTTCTATTCAGCAATTGCTATCTGGTATGCAACTGTTCTAGTAGTTTGCTTACTAATAGACAAAGTACCTGTTAAATACATGTTGCTGTGCCTTACACTTAAAGATACTTGGTATGTCTATTTTTTTATGGTTCAGGATCATCCCTTGGGGTGGGGGCGGACTGGTGACTAAAAAAACCTGTCTATAAAACTCTTTATTACTGCCTACTTTACATTTAGCAGTTTTAGTACTTTAAAAAAAAAAAAGTGCAAGAGCTTCTATAAAACTTAGCTCATGCAAGCAAACTGAGTTTCATGTTGCCACTTCGAGGCCAAAGCCTCCCCAGAAAAGCAAATTCTTATTTGAGATGTGGGAGCTGAGCACACTGCTCCTATCTGTAGCCAATTATTGTGCTTTGTATCTTAAATGGTTTGGGACTTAACAGCTTTTTTTTGTAGATCGGTGTGGGTGGCACTAGTTACCCAAAGATCATTCTGTATATGGTATAAAGTAGCCATTATTCTGCTCATCAATGTGTGTGGGTTTTTTTCCCCAATTTTGACTTTTCTTTCATAGGATGAAATCTTTGATATGGTGAAGCCTAAGGATCCTTACAAAATCTCCCTTCAAGACTTAATCAATAGCAGTCAAGGAGACACTGTTACCAGCATTCTAATCGATCTGAATGGGTTCTGGACGTATGAGAACAGAGAGGTCCTTGTGGCAAGTGATAATGACAACACTGCTGATGTTGATGATACGTGACTTTTGAACAGGAGCAGACTGTATCCATAGAGATATCTCAGTCTGATGCACCAACTGTTGGAAGCTGGAAACATTTGTCATCTGCATCAATGCCTCTTCCATTTTATCCCCCACCCCTCCCCCCCCTCACCACCACCCCTTTCCCCCCTCACCCCCCCCATATAATATAAAATGTGGTACATACACGAATCGCAGAACTAATTTCTGAAACCAAAAAAAGCAAGTGCTGTTTAAAAGGTAATTTTTTTTTTAATAAATATTTTTGGAATTTTTCCCTGTGTACCAAGCCCTATTCTTACTTGAATACCCTATTCTAAATGTGAATTTACCCTGAAAGTAAGGATGTGGTTCTCGGTATCTTCAGCTCTGGCCTGTATCCCCTCAGCCATCCCAAGCCTCCCACTGCGTTCTGTGTGGCTTCCTCTAATGATAGCGCTGTTGAGTGTTCTGCTGTAAAGGCAGAAGTCTTCAGTAAGAGGTGAAGAGGTTACGCCTTTTCCTTCTATGTGTGTCCAGCTTTAAGTGTCTAACAGAAAGGGTAAGTAACTTAACTATTGAACTGACTGAATAGTTACCTAATTCTTAAGAGCTTCATTAACAGAAGTAAAACTGCACTATAGCTTTAGGGCTAGTTAAAACTAATCCAAACACCTGTATAAAGGCTTTCACCAACTTAACCTCCTGGGCAAGTATTTTATGTAATTTAACTTAATCGTACAGCTGAGCTACAGCAGTAGTTAAAGCAGTGAAACTCTTTTAACAGAGCTGTAGAGATGTTTCAACTTTCAGATAAAATTACAATAGCTCCAGGCCAGAGGTGGTTGCAATCCTGCATTATTTATTAGTTTGAGGTAGTGCTGAACACACTGAGTACGTTAACAACTACTACATGAGGTTGTAAGGAAGGGGTAGTTTTAGTGCTTGAATATTCCACCAGGATGTGTGACTCAGTAAAGATGAAGACGGTGAACAGGCACATGCTCCTGTGTGCAGGCATAAAGTTGCAAAGACCACACAGTTTTAAAGGAAAAGCCATAGCCAACTTCCAGTTCAAAAATTATATTAAATATAAAATAACCAATTAATGCATTTACAGAAAAATTAACCCATTATGAAAGTAACCACTTTCAGTTTGCAAAAAACTGAAGGAAGGATTAAGTTAAGGCACAGTGAGTAATACAGTATTTTATACAAAGAAGTTTAAACCCAAGGCAGTGAGAGCATTTCTGATGCAAGAGATAGTAGGGAGAGGAGGAAAAAAACCAACGCAACTGACATTAATTTCTTGGCAGAAAAGCAAAGCATCCTTCAGCTGTAAAGGTTTTACTCTTGAGCTATGTGAGGCTTTCGATCTTTGACAGTGTAAGAACTCCCAACAAGCTGGTTTTCTGTGTATTCCCCAGGTGTTTGAACCAAGCTCTCCCTTGCAGATGTTCAGGGCTAAGGAATGATTTTACACAGCTGTCAGCAGCCTCCATCTTACAATTCAAAAAGAGGCAGAGAAGAGAGTATCAAAACAGATGGACTAGAGCTGATTGAATCCTCCTCAGAAGACTTTCTGTAGTGCTGGAATGCTAAGGGCAGATGAGAGGAGAAGGAATTTGTGCTCTACAGGACATTAGTTCAGGCAGAGGGTTGTCTGAAATACGTAACTGAACTCTGGAAACTTACAGCCAAGTTACCTGGCCTCTGATGTTACATCAGGTTCCTTAGTTAGTTGGTGGTGGGACCGAGGCCGGGGCATATGATGATACCCAACACAAAATTTCACTGAAGGCTATTTTTTAATTTTTTTTTTTTTTTAGAAATCTCAAGGACAGAAGTAATGTTTCACACGGTAACTAGTGCAGGTTCTCTGCTCCTTTATCTAAAACGATTCTCTGTAGAAAGTGACTGGGGCGCTGACATCTGACTGATTGTCGCAAAGTAAACCACTTGCCTTTTACAAGCTACAAGTAGAACAACAGTCATTGCAGTAAAATAGCCTTAATTGGTATTTGGAGCTACTTAAAAGCTCTGGAGCTACCTGTGTTTCACTTACTTAGACAAAAATAAAAATTACTGTTGTTGCACTATTGCAGTAAAGTGTTTTGTTTATTTAAGAAAAAGGAAGAATTTTAAGTTTGGTTTTGTGATTTCTATTTATTTATGTATTCTGTGCTAGAGGGGGGAAAAACACCTGCAATGGCACATCCCTTACTGGTAACTATTAAACCAATAGTCTGTTTAGGTTAATCAAGTACACTGACTCAGGTAATCTCTGTCCAAAAAGTTTTCACAGTTCTCTGTTGGTACCATACACAGTGTCCAGCGCATTCAGTATAATTTAGCAAGACTGTAGGTATTTCCCAGGACCATTCAGAGCATGTAAAGTAGGCAAGCAGTTGGGTCTCAATTCTTGGACTTGGAGCGAGAACATCTTACACTGATGCTAGTTCTGTACTTTGCTACAGCACTGAACGGAGCAGCTGAGCACTATTAGCCTCCAAGAGTGCTGGTACTTGTTAGTAAGCTCCTAAGGGTGTTTACCGCCTCCTTTAAATTTTTTTTTTTTAATTAAAAAAAGTCAGTGGACCCTTAAATCTAATTAACATCAAATCTAACATTATCTCTTGTGTTAAACAACAACAGAAAAAAATACACGCACACAACAGTGACAATAAATAGGGGAAATCGGACGCTATTATAATGACTTGTGAGTTACAGGATATTGATTCCTATTAATCTATTCATAGAGAGCCGAGTTGCAAACAATGTGCAAATCAGTTTAGACGTAGGAAACAGCACTGCATCTGCAATCCACAGGTGTTAGAGACACAGCAATTCAAAGAAAAGACATTTTTACTTGCTTTACACAGAAATTAGCTCACACATTCAATTTTCGACCAAATGTTTGTAGTGCAATTTTCATTTTAACTGAAGTGCCAATTTGGCAGAATGCCTCAGCTTTTATTAGGCAGACAGACTGAACAGACATCGCCTAGCTCTCTCCTGATCAATAAGAATGCTAGAAGTTGTATTTCACTGAACAAGTATAATCCTATTTTTCCTGCTTCTTATAGCCAGATTGTGACACCTGACACTTCCTATTTCCTACATTATACAGAGCTTTACACTTAAGGAGGGACAGGAACTACATCTTGTTTACTTTCCCCAACGGACTGGCAATCCCCCTCATTTTCAAAGTTTACGTTCACGAATGAAGTGCATGCTGTCGCTTCAGGCTGGTCTGTCTGGACAGGAGCTTCAGCCTGTGGCTTGTTCTGCTGTTCCTGATGCTGTCTTTCTGCTTCTTCTGACATCTTATTTTCCTGTTCCTCCTCTTCCTCCTAAAACCAGATAACCAGATTCGTAAGCTACTATTTACCGCTTACTTACATTCACTTTACGTCTTTCCATAAGAGCGTAGCAGTTCCTATTACAAGGCAAGGACATTTGTTCCACTAGAAAATGGTCACTAATTGATCATAAGATGAGGTATATTCCAGAATTCCCATTATGGAAAAAAAAAAAAAATCACCAAAAGTGAAGGATTAAACTGTGTTAAATAAACACAGAAAAAATGTCACATGTCTAGATAAGCAGTTTTTAGTCAATAGCAATAGTTGTAGGTAGACCTTTCTCTAAAGCTTTTTCTGCTCTTAATAATAAAGACCCATGAAAAATAGGTAGTAAAGCTTTAAGTATGTTTCCCATCTCTTCCAAATGAAGATTATTAAGGGTTTTTTTGCATAAAGCACTGGCTACCTATCAGTCATTTCCAGTTATGGTTTAGAACAAATGGTAACATCATGTTCAATTTACCCTTGACCCTTCGTTGAACAAGTTCTAGAGTTGGAAAGTATATTCCTAGCAGCCGCCTCTTTACATACAGTGTCCAGTAACTGCTCCGTCCAACTTTTCTCATGCTGTTGACTTGAAAATGCATTGCACAAGAGAAACAAATAGAGCAGTAGTCAGGACCAGCCAGTTCTAGGACTGATGAGCTGGTGAGAAAAGGCTGATGGATAAGCGAGCATTAATTGTGTGTCAAATGAAAACTGAAGGCAAGCTGAAATAGAGGTTCCAAAACTTCATTTTAATGCTGGAATTCAAATTTCATTTTTTAGAATACCAGGGAAGGCAAGTTGGGAGAAAAGGAGTGCAAGAACCCTATTTCACACACATACCTCTCTCTTCATTCTGTAATACTCATCAATGGCATATTGGTATTTTGGTGTGCTTATCCCCAGAACAGATGCAATCTTTTCCCCAAGGAAATCACACACTAAAAAATAAAGAGAAGTTTTCATACGATTAGTATCTAGAAGGAAATTCTTAAGTTTTATTTTAAAAGGTATCATCATCTTTCCTGAATGGTTTTCCATAGTCCTACTTCACTCAAAAGACAAAACCAAAATCTGCTAGGCTAATCTACTTACACGTAATTATTAGCTCAATATACTAATAATTGTTCTTTAAGATAAAGAATGAACAGAAGGAGAAGAACACGGAAATTAATGAGAATCTAGATAGTGGTAGTGTTTGTTTGAATTCTACTAGTTTCAGCTTTGGATGTAGGTTTGCTTTGCTAGGGGATCAGTTAAAGGATAAGCCTTTAACTGAACTTTAACTGAAAATTAAGGTTAGACAAAAATACATGGCAACCAACTGTATCGGCACTTCAGTCTAATGGTACCAGCAAACTAGAGAGTTACTTATTGATATATGCATACTTCAAGTCAGTAGCAGTTTTAACAATGTTCTGTGTTGCATACTAATGGATTAATAAAATATTTAGGTTTCAGCTGTCTCAATTTTCAAGCTGGAGGCCACGTGCAGCGCTACTTTGCTAAAACAGGTAGTGCACGGTCAGAAGTATGAAACAGGTGGGCTTGTGTCAGTCAGTCTCTTTACCATGATGATGGCTATAGCACTGGTCCTTGAGTAAAGGCAAGCAAGAAGTCAAATATATTGCACTTCAAATTGCAAATCTGCCCTGAGGATGCAAATGAGTTAGCTATCTTCAGGGAAAACAAGTTAGAAGTTAGCAACTGACTGCTTCAATGAATATTCACAATAACTAATTTTATAGATATCCTGGCATCCAAAGCTCTGTGCAAAAGACCAGTTCAAATTACAAATGTAAGAGGCAAAACTGAAGTGGGAAGAAGGAAGTACTAATCTTCAAATTCATAAAAGACTGCTAAAAAAAGAAAAGCAGTATCTACTTTTCTGTATGAAGAACAGATATGACAAGGGATAGAATTACGCTGTACATTAGAGAAAAAGT